AAGCGATTATCACCTTTTCAAGCATTTGCAAAATTTTCTTGATGGTACAAAACTGGCCTCAAGAGAGGCTTGTGAAAATGAGCTGGTCAAGTTTTTTATCAATAGGGACGAGGACTTCTTCAATCGCGGAATTATGAAATTGCCTTCAAAATGGACAAAAGTTATCGAACAAAACGGCGCATATTTGATCGAAATCGGATAATCCTAACTATGTTAATTTCATCGTCGAAATAAAGCGAAAAAACGCTCAGGACTTTTTACTTCACCTAATATTATATTAGGTTGGCCAATAAGTCCATGCGGTTTTTCTCGATAGATGACTTCAAGGCGCTCGGCTAAGCTTTATCTTCAGTCGAAAGTCTTGAAAGCGTATAGTCATTTCAACGTGCATTTAAAGAATTTACGTAAAGATTGCTTGTGTATCTTGTGTGTTTTGCGTCATCTGAAAATGGATAACTGTACTAGCATTTTTGGCATATTATGCTTTTTTATTTTAAAAAAGGCAAAAACGCGGCGCAAACCTGTAAAAAATTTTGTGCAATATATAGTGAGTATGCCGTGAAAGAACGCGTATGCCAAAAGTGGTTTGCGAGATTTTTCCGTCAAAGACAAACCACGCTTAGGCCGACCAAATGAGATCGACAGCCACAAATTGAAGGCGGCAATCGACACTAATCCACACTATACGATGTGGGAGATTGCAGACGTTCTCCAAATATCGAAATCGAGCTTGGAAAACCATCTGCATCAACTTGGTTATGTTAGTCGTCTTGATGTTTGGGTTCCGCGCGAACTGAGCGAAGTTTATTTTTAATCCAACACATTTCCATCAGCGATTCATTCGAAAAACGTGAGAAAAGCGATCCATTTTTGAAACGTATAGTAACTGGCGATGAAAAATGGATCGTCTACAATAACATCAAATAACAAGCACAAAAGATCGTGGGGCAGCGCAGTGAACCGCCACAAACCACTTCGAAGGCAGGGCTTCACGGAGCAAGATCATGCTCTTAATTTGGTGGGATTGGAAGGGTGTTGTGTTCTATGAGCTACTTCCAAAGAACAGAATGATCAATTCAGATGTGTACTGTAGTCAACTGGATAAATTGAATGCAGCGATCCACGAGAAGCATCCAGAATTGGTGAATTGTAGAGGCGTTGTCTTTCACTATAACTTATCGTTAGGCCGCACACATTTCTACAAACCCAGCAAAAATTATTGGCGCTAGGCTGGGATGTCTTACCACTGTATCCTCTGTATTCTCCAGACATTGCACTTTCAGATTACCATCTGTTTTGCTTCCTTCAAAATTCCTTGAATGGAAAACACTTTGTTTCTGAGGAAGCTGTCAAACAACACTTGGAACAGTTTTTTGCCGAGAAAGACAGGAAGTTCTTTGAATGAGGAATTATGAAGCTGCCCGAAAGATGGCAAAAGATAGTAGATAACAACGGCCAATGCATAATTGATTAAAGTTATACTTTCTATAAAAATAATCATCGATTATTTATAAAAAACCGCACGGACTTATTAGCCAACACAATATTAATCATATAATTAAAATAATATTAAAGAAAAATTGATACAAAACTTGCATACATACAGAAAATAAATATGTTAATTTATGACACATATTTGTTACAAAGATAATGCTTATGGAAAAAATATATGATGCAAAGTGGTTGTTTGCATAAAGAACAAATAATTACACTGTTCGATAACAATCGAACTTTTTTCCGTGACACGAGTACGAATTGTCATTTCCAACGTATTTTTGACTGCTGAACACAATCCGTCATCCAAATTTGGCTGTCACGTCACAATTTTGAGAAAAATGGCGTCAAGAAGGCCAAGAAGCCGAATGCGGGAATCTTCTTATCTTGTATCTTACATCATTTTTCTCAAAATTGTGACGTGATAGCCAAATTTGGACGATGAATTCGAGTTAAGCAGGCAAAAATACATCGGAAATGACTATTTGCCTTTTTGCAAAAAAAAAAATTGTTTTACTCAGTGATATTGATGCCGACGACTATTTCTGATTGGCTATATGTTGAAAACATAAAACTGTTGGGAAATGAGATCACATATATTTTTAAACTGAAAATTGATACTTTTGCGTGGCATTAACGAAATGTAAAAAAAATTTTTTTGTTTGCGCTACAGCGCCACAAAACCTTCAAAACCGTCATTTTTGGTTTTTTTGACGTCATTTTTCTTAAAATTATGACGTGATAGCTAAATTTGGACAACGAATTTGTGTTCAGCAGGTAAAATACATCGGAAATGACTATTCGTACTCGTGTCATGAAAAAAGTTCGATTTTTGTCGAACAATGTAATTACTTGTTCTTGGTGCAAACAATCACTTTGCATCATCACATTTTTTCCATAAACACCACCTTTGTAACAAATATGTGTCATAAATAAAACACATTTATTTTCTGTGTGTATGCAAGTTTTGTATCGATTTTTCTTTAATATTATATTTAATATATGATTAATATAATAACATACACATTATATATTCTAAATTATATACATTATATATACATTATACAGGGTAAGGAAAAAGTATGGAAATCCTGAAAAATCTCAAAAAATATAAGTTTTACAGAAAAATGTTTCAAATAAAAGTTGTAGGATTTAAAAAGGTCTATTCAATAGTCTCATCAGTTTGACCTTGGCTGGTGTCGTTAAGGTGAAGTCAAACTCACCTTGAATTTTTTAAATGAAACACCCTATTTTTTATTGCATATTCTTATAATCCTTCTCAATACCTTTTCAAAGCATTATAATTTTATTCATTTTAGGGTTCAGCCGTTTCAAAGTTATTGAATATTTTACAGTAAGAAGTAATAGACACCCGAAGACAAGGTCGGAATATGATTCAGCCAACTAAGGTAAGATCGAAGGATGATCCAGCCAACTAAGACTGTTTTTGGACGATTTTTAACACCACCAATTTCTTCGAAACGTGTGATAGTTTTGTGAACTGTAGATTTCGAGATGTACTTGTATTTTCATTCTGAAATGTTGCATTGAAGAGCTGCTTAACATCATTGTATGACCTTAGTCTGTCTCCCCATCCTCTTATCATCAAAAGAGATATTCGTTTACGTACAGTAAGGTACAGCATTTTAAAAGCAACTAATAATGAGTAGCCGTGAAAACAACTGAAAGTGAGTAGCCGTGAAAACAGCTGAGAGTGAGTAGCCGTGAAAACAACTGAGAGTGAGTAGCCGTGAAAATAGCTGAGAGTGAATATGATCCGGCCAACTAAGGAAAGATCGGAGGATGATCTAAGAGCTTAGATCATCCTCCGATCTTGTCTTAGTTAGCTGGATCATATTCCGACCTTGTCTTCGGGTTTCTATTACTTCTTACTGTAAAATACTCAATAACTTTGAAACGGCTGACCCAAAATGAATAAAATTATAGTGCTTTGAAAAGATATTGAGAAGGACTATAAGAATATGCAATAAAAAATAGGGTGTTTCATTTAAAAAATTCAAAGAGACTTTGACTTTACCTTAACGATGCCAGCCAGGGTCAAACTGATGAGACTATTGGATAGGTATTTTTAAATCCTACAACTTTTACTTGAAACATTTTTCTGTAAAACTTATATTTTTTTAGATTTTTCAGGGTTTCCATACTTTTTCCTCACCCTGTATATTAAATATATGCAATTGTCTATGTGTTATTTTTCTACAATTTATTATATTCCCTTACCTATAGTAACATATTTATCTATAGTATCCATCTATTTAGGCAGTGTGGCGCCTATAGCACGATGTTATCACGTCGTTTTCCGACGATTAAAGCAAGACCAACTTTTACTATTACATGTGGATGAATTTGATATTAAATGCTCTATAACTTTTGTTCTTACAAGAACTTTAAAATTTTGCGAAAGTACCGAGTGGAAGGGGGCAGAAAGTAAAAAATGTGACATTTAAAAAAATGAAATACGCCGTTGCAAAAGGTATTAAATACTGTAAAACTTATGTAGGAAACATTTTTTTATATACCTTATATTTTAGAAATGATTCCATAAGAATGAAAAATTTAATTTTTTTCAATGGACTGTTTTAACTCCTAAACCTCGATATAAAAAAATATGGGTCTCTTACTTTTTGATGTTCTATAACATATCCAAAGCGCATCAAAATCGGTGAGGAACAGTTATGTTATGTCCTTTGTTAGAAGGATGTTCGTAGATAGTCCGCATCACGTTACTCTTTAAATGTACATAACCGGAATATATTCTATTTATGAAATCTTTTTTTTTAATAACTTTTTAATAAACTATGACCGCCAATTGAAGCCTTTTGAACGTTACTTAGGATTTTTCCTCCACAACATATATTAAGATCAAGATCAATGGATGTAGTTTCCAGAAACTGAATATTCACAAAATTACATACACTTACTCTAACTTTGTTTTCCCAAAAAAATGATTAATATTTATATTCTTTAACGTCGATTAATAGAAGTTGCCTTATTGATTATGTTTCCAGAGTTAATGTCACTTTTATTGATAAAAGAGGAAAGAAGCATGCAGTGCAAGGGAAAGTTGGAGACAATATACTTTATTTAGCTCACAGACATGGGATTGAAATGGAAGGAGCATGTGAGGCTTCTCTAGCATGTACGACTTGTCATGTATATGTACACCAGGACTATTTGAACAAACTTCCAGTTCCTGAGGAAAAAGAAGAAGATCTTTTAGATTTGGCACCTTTTTTAAAAGAAAATTCTAGACTAGGTAAATTTTATTATTAAATTTTATTATAGGCAATTTTTATTATTATTTTTCATTAAGTTGAAAAGTTAAAAAGTTTTATTTATTATTTTTTATTATTTTATTATTTTTCATATTATCCTACAATTAGCATTATATTGCTAATTGCAGGATAATATGAATATATATATATATATATATATATATATATATATATATAT